ATCGATATTCATGCACTTTCCTTATCCTTATCCTGATTGCTGATAAATAAGACTTTGCATTTACTTGTACATGTATTTGTTTATGGGAGCGGCCTTCAAATAAGTTCTTAGGAGCTTGTTGGCCAATCCATTCATAATTTCATGAATAAATATGTTTAAACCACACTGTTAATACAGTTTCTTGTCTCTGTTAATCTGAATTCACCGATGCTAATCTGAAAGTTTTACAACACAAAAAATGAATACCGATTACAATACTAGTAAATCGTTAAAAATAGTTCTAAAATTTATAACTGATTAAAAAGTGTTGACATTTTGCAGAGAATGATGACACGTTCCTATATGCCACAAATGTGAATGAATGTCATCTTAAAGAGACATTTTCAAAATGATTTTGTTGTATTTGATTTTCAGCATTACAACCTAAAGAACAGGCAATTTCTGTTAATAACGAAGTTTTGAATTAGACGTTCAAGCGTTTCATGTTTCAGAAGAAGACTTCAATGCAAGATCACAGGAGCCATATTGAGCTTTCCATCGTTTAATGATGCAAATGAAAATTTGTTCTCTCAAACAATGCGCAGACCGAACATCCTTGATTGAAGACATTTGAAAGAGCGTGAGTCATGACGAGCGATGGAGATAGGCACAGATAGTATCTCTAAACTCCTACAGAATGTTCGTAAGGAAACTAGCAAATGTAATACCTTAGATAGAACTTGGAAAGTATAGATCAATGCAATCTGCAGTAAAGTCGCTTAGTCTCGTAAAATGACTTTGTTAAACAAGGTATATTATCAAATAAATTTGGATATTGCGAACAGATAAGCAAATTTAATCCACTGTTTTCAGGTAAAACAGATTTTTAGAATTATTGTTTAAATTCCCAAATGTGTTAAAACAACCAGTGTTCGACGCTAAATGGATGTGACTATGCAAAAGGGTGTATTTACTGTGTGTGGTGGCTGTACCAGAGACCATATAATAAATTATATTATCTATTATATGGTCTCTGGTTGTACATAAATTAAGACAATTTTATTCTTTACATGATTAACATGACATATATCGTGGTTAAAATGGGTCACTTGTAATTAACTACAGAATACTATCATAAGTAAAATCATGATGCATACACAATGTTTCTGTTTGTACATATCAGCAATGCATGTACTATGTAACACCGCCCCTGGCTTTGAACTGACAAGAAAACTCTCTTCCTGCGAACGTTCATAATGCCTTTCCTTGTACGTACTAAACTGCCTGAAATATGGACAGTCACTGAGAAACGCCAGGTGGTAATTTCAATACCATGTTAAAGTCCCATTAATAAGACAACAGTGACCATGGCACATTTATTACAATGTTACCTGACATGCATAAGGCATATATTACGTTCATTACAATGTATAGATTGTTTGGTTTAGCACAACGGTGTAGTTTATCCTCGGGGGATGGTAAAGCTTGTTACTGTATACTGTTGCAGGACATGTGGATCGGGACTGATGGAGAACGTGTAAAATGTGTATAGAACATGTCTGTAACCTGTATCTAGATAACAACCAGTCTCCTGTGTAGCATGTCTGTAACCTGTATCTAGATAACGACCAATCTCCTGTGTAGCATGTCTGTAACCTGTATCTAGATAACAACCAATCTCCTGTGTAGCATGTCTGTAACCTGTATCTAGATAACAACAAGTCTTCTGTGTAGCATGTCTGTAACCTGTATCTAGATAACAACCAATCTCCTGTGTAGCATGTCTGTAACCTGTATCTAGATAACAACCAGTCTCCTGTGTAGCATGTCTGTAACCTGTATCTAGATAACAACCAATCTCCTGTGTAGCATGTCTGTAACCTGTATCTAGATAACAACCAATCTCCTGTGTAGCATGTCTGTAACCTGTATCTAGATAACAACCAATCTCCTGTGTAGCATGTCTGTAACCTGTATCTAGATAACGAACAACCTCCTGTGTAGCATGTCTGTAACCTGTATCTAGATAACAACCAATCTCCTGTGTAGCATGTCTGTAACCTGTATCTAGATAACAACCAATCTCCTGTGTAGCATGTCTGTAACCTGTATCTAGATAACAACCAATCTCCTGTGTAGCATGTCTGTAACCTGTATCTAGATAACAACCAATCTCCTGTGTAGCATGTCTGTAACCTGTATCTAGATAACAACCAATCTCCTGTGTAGGATGTCTGTAACCTGTATCTAGATAACAACAAGTCACCTGTGTAGTATGTCTGTAACCTGTATCTAAATAACAACCAATCTCCTGTGTAGCATGTCTGTAACCTGTATCTAGATAACAACAAGTCTTCTGTGTAGGATGTATGTAACCTGTATCTAGATAACAACCAATCTCCTGTGTAGCATGTCTGTAACCTGTATCTAGATAACAACCAATCTCCTGTGTAGCATGTCTGTAACCTGTATCTAGATAACAACCAATCTCCTGTGTAGAATGTCTGTAACCTGTATCTAGATAACAACCAGTCTCCTGTGTAGCATGTCTGTAACCTGTATCTAGATAACAACCAATCTCCTGTGTAGCATGTTTGTAACCTGTATCTAGATAACAACCAATCTCCTCTGTAGGATGTCTGTAACCTTTATCTAGATAACGAACAACCTCCTGTGTAGCATGTCTGTAACCTGTATCTAGATAACAACCAATCTCCTGTGTAGAATGTCTGTAACCTGTATCTAGATAACAACCAGTCTCCTGTGTAGCATGTCTGTAACCTGTATCTAGATAACAACCAATCTCCTGTGTAGCATGTCTGTAACCTGTATCTAGATAACAACCAATCTCTTGCGTAGCATGTCTGTAACCTGTATCTAGATAACAACAAGTCTTCTGTGTAGGATGTATGTAACCTGTATCTAGATAACAACCAATCTCCTGTGTAGCATGTCTGTAACCTGTATCTAGATAACAACCAATCTCCTGTGTAGCATGTCTGTAACCTGTATCTAGATAACAACCAATCTCCTGTGTAGCATGTCTGTAACCTGTATCTAGATAACAACCAATCTCCTGTGTAGCATGTCTGTAACCTGTATCTAGATAACGAACAACCTCCTGTGTAGCATGTCTGTAACCTGTATCTAGATAACAACCAATCTCCTGTGTAGCATGTCTGTAACCTGTATCTAGATAACAACCAATCTCCTGTGTAGCATGTCTGTAACCTGTATCTAGATAACAACCAATCTCCTGTGTAGCATGTCTGTAACCTGTATCTAGATAACAACCAATCTCCTGTGTAGCATGTCTGTAACCTGTATCTAGATAACAACCAATCTCCTGTGTAGGATGTCTGTAACCTGTATCTAGATAACAACAAGTCACCTGTGTAGTATGTCTGTAACCTGTATCTAAATAACAACCAATCTCCTGTGTAGCATGTCTGTAACCTGTATCTAGATAACAACAAGTCTTCTGTGTAGGATGTATGTAACCTGTATCTAGATAACAACCAATCTCCTGTGTAGCATGTCTGTAACCTGTATCTAGATAACAACCAATCTCCTGTGTGTAGCATGTCTGTAACCTGTATCTAGATAACAACCAATCTCCTGTGTAGAATGTCTGTAACCTGTATCTAGATAACAACCAGTCTCCTGTGTAGCATGTCTGTAACCTGTATCTAGATAACAACCAATCTCCTGTGTAGCATGTTTGTAACCTGTATCTAGATAACAACCAATCTCCTCTGTAGGATGTCTGTAACCTTTATCTAGATAACGAACAACCTCCTGTGTAGCATGTCTGTAACCTGTATCTAGATAACAACCAATCTCCTGTGTAGAATGTCTGTAACCTGTATCTAGATAACAACCAGTCTCCTGTGTAGCATGTCTGTAACCTGTATCTAGATAACAACCAATCTCCTGTGTAGCATGTCTGTAACCTGTATCTAGATAACAACCAATCTCTTGTGTAGCATGTCTGTAACCTGTATCTAGATAACAACAAGTCTTCTGTGTAGGATGTATGTAACCTGTATCTAGATAACAACCAATCTCCTGTGTAGCATGTCTGTAACCTGTATCTAGATAACAACCAATCTCCTGTGTAGCATGTCTGTAACCTGTATCTAGATAACAACCAATCTCCTGTGTAGCATGTCTGTAACCTGAATCTAGATAACAACCAATATCCTGTGTAGCATGTCTGTAACCTGTATCTAGATAACAACCAATCTCCTGTGTAGCATGTCTGTAACCTGTATCTAGATAACAACCAATCTCCTGTGTAGCATGTCTGTAACCTGTATCTAGATAACAACCAATCTCCTGTGTAGCATGTCTGTAACCTGTATCTAGATAACAACCAATCTCCTGTGTAGCATGTCTGTAACCTGTATCTAGATAACAACCAATCTCCCGTGTAGCATGTCTGTAACCTGTATCTAGATAACAACCAATCTCCTGTGTAGCATGTCTGTAACCTGTATCTAGATAACAACCAATCTCCTGTGTAGAATGACTGTAACCTGTATCTAGATAACAACCAGTCTCCTCTGCAGCATTATTTTAATAAACAATAAATTAAACACACAAAGGACTATTAATGTATAATGTATAATAATATTTTATTCACACAGGTACATATATATGCATGCATCGTGTATCAAATGAACAAGCGGTTATTTTGCAATTTGAATAAACAATGTATTTATTAAGTTATAAATACATGTATTAACGTATATACGATAAAACCAAACAGTAACAAATGAAATAGTGACCAACTCGAACCTGGTATAACTGCTAAACGTTCATATTTTTCCGCTTTTAAGTATTATTTTTGCTTGATGTAGTAGCGGTTGCAGTGACGATCTGCTCACGTCAATCACACTTCGCATGCTGTCAGTTTGACAACACTTGCTAAGCAATGATCAGTTTGTGTTTCTATTCACATTACAGGGTAGAACAGTTTACTGTAACCTTAGATGATCCTCGTCCTACAGCAGAGTCCACAGGGTGGGATCAACCCTCTCTGTTCAGTCCTTCAAAGGGGAGAATGATTGCCCTGCACGATGTCAGTCTCGTAAGACCGTTTAGGGAAGTGAATTGTGCCCTCGTGTCTTGTTAGGACGCAGTTAGTCTGTTAGTGTAGCCTGGCCATGCATACTGTCGCAACACCGTTCAGAACGTACGTCATCAGAAAGCATCATGTCTTGCCGTCTCCTCACCGGGACACATGCACCTCCGGGTGGCAGTCCACCCGAATGCCAGGGGAGGATACTGCTGGGATGATTATCCCCCTTCTGACATCGGCTCGACCTTGAACCCTGTCATCGAGTACTGGGTGGGTCTAACAGCCATACCACTGTAGTAGGCCACCACGTGACTCAGGGAAGGAAACCTGAGGAGGCTCGACTTCCCGTCAACGTTAGTGGCACCTAAAACATCCTTGGCATGGCTGTCGACAACCATCCAGCCTCCAGCAGGATTCTGCAGCAGGGCCGAGCTTCTGCCATCAAGGGTAATAATGGCACCCTGGCAGTCCTGGGCGTTGAACACCCTCCCCACGGCATCCCCAAACTCCCTGAGGGGCTGGCCGGGCATCCATTCCCAGGTCAGCTGACTCCTTAGGGAGTTAGTGTCCATGCTGCCAGGGTACAGAAGTCCCTGGATCTCGCAGACCCGACCACACCGGACAGGCCATTTCGACTGGGAGTCTTCAGGCTCCTCCACCATCTCATCGGCTGCCAGATGTTTGCTGGAAGGAGCCCAGCTTCCCAGGGTGCCGAGGATGGCGTCGTGAAGACGGTCGCCCATCACGAGGACCCCGTCCAGTGTAGCTGGAGTCCACAGACCAGCAGGGACAACTGCACTAGCAACAATGGCGGACAATGCCACCGAGGTGCACTGGGTGCCTGGATGTCTTGACCTGAAAGAAAAGAAACTAATATATTCAAAGAAGTAACTTATGCTGAAATGTGCTCAAATACAAAACGTTTACAAAACTAAATCAAAGTTTGCCAGAACGGATGACTGTAATGTTTGCGCATATGTATCTGACACGGTTTACTTACGGGCTCCATACTTCTGGAATATGACCTTGGTGGAAGTGTCCGAGGACCGAGTGTCTGCATTCAGGCTGGCCAGACACCTCCACGTTGTCCTTGACCTCTGTACATGACTGACTGGACATGGGTGCGAGTTCTTTGGCACTATGGGCGGCGTGGGCAGATCTTGAAGGGAGGAGAGGGTGTTCCCCGGACGGGGTACCACACCCACATACAGCAGCCCCAGGGTGTGTGCTGTAGTCCCCTGGGGTCGGGGTAAGGAATCTCTTTAAGTCCAGGACAGGCTTTTGTAACCTTCAATATAGAGAGAGGAGGAGCAACTTGGTCCAAAGTATAAATCACAACTTAATGCAAGAACTACATCGTATTGTTGTTGTAACGTGTTCACCACGAAAAGTACAACACTTGGACTAATGTAATGTAACAAAAACAGAAAAAAGTTTACAAAATTGTTGGAAGTCATCTCACACTTGAATAAAACACCCCCGGAGTTAAGGCATACTGGAAAGGAGACACCTTACTTTGATACCTCAAGTGAATGGCAGCACGAACGTTGTCATATGTACTTGTATAACATTTTATCGCCTTACCCATTCTCTGAGGTTGTGGGAATTTCTTTTCTCTGTGTCTCCTTGTAATGGTAGTCCTTGTCAACCTGCAATTTAATTATCACATAGTATCAGTTATCAAGCGCGACTACTGCTGTCTCTTTCCCTAGTGCCTGTGTAAGAACTGTGTAAGGATTTTTGAATTGACACCACTACAACCACTACTGCTTATACAGAGACGAGTTGTTTGAGATAGTCGGGAAAGTTATCGTTGTAGAGGCAGTAATGAGTCAGAATGAGGATTTTGAAGGAAATTTCGGATTATTTGTAGTTTCTGGAGTGATTTAGTGGAGAGGCTGGCATATGGTGAATTACAGTAGTCGAGTTTAGAAGTGACAAGACAGTGCATGAGAAGTTTACATATGTTAGTATCGAGGTAGTGGCGGACTTTGCTGATATTGTGGATGTTGAAGTAGCAGGCTCTACTGATGGAGGTGATGTGCGCATCCATGGACATGTTGGAATCAAGGATGACACCAAGATTCCTGACACTCTCTGATGGTGGGAAGTTTGTGTCGCTAATACGAAGTGAAAGTGATGGAGAAGCAGTCTTCAACTTTATAAGCTGATGTTTGGAGCCAATGAGTATAGGAACTCTGTCTTCTCCTCATTCAACATCAAATAGTTGGAGATCATCCACGATTTGATTTCCTGAATGCAGAGCTCAAGTTGATATTGAGCGAAACATCATCTGATTCAAAGGCAATGTAGAGCTGCGTATCATCCGCATATATGTGGAAACTTTGTGGTATACTTTGTGGTACCTTTATATGTGGTACTTTGGTGTTCCCACACTTTGGAGCCAGTTGTTTCTGGTACGTATCCCGGTATAAATTGCCCTCCTCATATACTGTTTCAAGCACCATTGCTACCAGACAATGTCCTCATCGTTGTCGAGGTTTATGCACGGAGCCTTTGACCACAACCACTGCCTACATTACTGCTGTACCTAATGACAGTTGTCACACCGTCACACCTCATTGTGCTCCTGTGTATTGCTGTTGCATCTCGCACAGATAGGCACACACTTAGAATTAAGCATCACGAAGTGTATATAACACGTAACTTGTTTCAAATTTAGTTAATTGTGAAAGGATACCATGACAATTCTTTTTCACGCGCAGCTGATGACATTACCTCATTATGTCGTCGAATAATGGGGAAACCAGGCAGTGACGATTTGTCACATCTTTGACACTCCATTCAAGACCATGCATACACTTTCCATCTGTTTCATTTCCAACGCGTCTACACGTGGAGATAGCTTTCATTGAAAAAAATATCCTAACACAGGAAAACTAGATCTATTTCGAGATCTACTGTACGGAGTTGAGTAGCTTGGACGTATGAAACCTACCGCTACTCGAGATATGCAGCAGAATCTCCTGGCCTGTCGAGAACACCACTTCCTAAGTCTTCGAAAGTATGACTGCGGAATGTGAATCTTATTCGCCATTGTCCCAAAAGAAGCTTTTGCAGTGCCGGTATTAGTTCCTGCTGCTTTGTAATCGAACCTCCCGCTCTTGCAACACAAGGCAAACAATCATGTGACGTCACGAGAAACAACCAATCAGAGCGTCACGAAGAGATACTCAATGCAGCGACCACGGTAGGAAACGGTGCCAGGAGCACTTATCACATAGTGTTGTAAGTTTATGTTAAGTACATGCGAGTTACGACCTCCTTTGAGCATAGATCCATTTCAGATGATTTCATAAATCAGATATATCAGAAGTATTTTATCCCATTCTTTGTTTCTTCTTAAAACTACTTAAAACTAAGATTTCAAGGACAGGGAATGTTTATCGTTTTTAATCAATACAGCGTTGGTTTGCTGATTCAAATAACGGCTGTGCACGCATTCACACTTCATAAGTCGTTTGGATGTGAATGAGACAATCATAAAACGACAAGTGTGTTCAAAATAAAAGAGAAGAAAATATGACTGAGTGAGTATGGTGTTACTCTGCTGTTCACGGTTTGGGACACCAGAGATCTGCGGCGTCACGAGTGAATGCTACAAAAATAAGAATGCATTTTAAAGCGATTAGAGGAGGAACGAACAGATATACAACCAAATCCATAGCTGCACCGGGACGTTTTTAATTCTGCTCCAGTAGATGTTTTGCACAAACTTTAATGTCGATAAACACACAACTAGCAATTTAATAGTGAAGATAGTTTTGCTGAAGTAGAACAGCCCGCTTCGTCCTTACTATGATCAGGAAGTCTGCTCGATGTGGTGTTGATCTGGCTATGGCAATGGCGTTTCTGTTTGAAAGCAGACTACATGTTACAGATACATCAGCATTACTATTATTTCCCGTTACACACCATGAAACAACTAGTTATATTAAATCATCTGTATACAAATGTAAGAGACCTCATTATTTTCTCAGTCAAAAGTTGGTAACAATGTACACTGATATCTCTCAATGTTACCTTAAGTGGAAAATGTTTAACTATAAACAGCAAGCTATATTTATAAGGATTCATGCATTCAAATAAGCAAAGGATTAAGAAAAATAACGAGAAATGATAGTGGAATATTTCAAACAAAGTCAATGTCAAAACAATTTTTTCATTTCTGAAAGAGTCATCTTCAAACTCCGTTTGCCTTTGTAGATAATTATCACAAATGTGCACGCATTAATATTATTATCTGACTCAGTTTGGATGAGACATTAAGATGAAAATATGTTACAAATTCAGTTTTTAAAATGTCAAAATTGTTTCTCCAGAAATAGTAGTCTGACAGACTAAAATGCGAGACATCGGTGCACCTCACCACGAACTTTTATTGTCCACTTTCTAGAAACATGCATCTCGATTTGATACAAAGCTGTTTCGGCGCTCCGGTCGTCGTACCTCCCATAATTTGTGATGTCGTAGCACTATAAACGCTTAGTTGGAAGGGGGCGAACAGGAACAATGGACGATCTACTCACTACCATAGTTGTGATATGCAACAGAAGCTCCGGGAATGCAGAGAAAGCCACTTTCTGCGTCTCCGGAAGTACGACTGTGGAATGTGGACCCTACTCGCCATTGTCTCAGTGACATCGAGCGTGTTGCAATCAAACAGAACTGTTGTAACCGACTTCACACGGGAATGCATACAAGTTCAATTCGTACAACTAAATTCATACAACGGTTTGTACCAAACAATTGCAACCTCGGATACCTATTAAACCAGAGACCATATAATAGTCTATTATATGGTCTCTAATTAAACCATCCAAACTTCACAATCTTCAAGTATCCCAGTTCATACTTAGCATTGTGGAGGATCTTCGACAGTTATTTTTTCTCCTGTCGGCCAAGAGGATCGTGTTGACTTAATTTCTTCAAAGATGAAGTTTATTTCTCTACCGTCAGTATTTGTTTTTAAATATCTTTATGGCAGTGATTATGAACCCTCCTCTCGCGTGTGATAACAATTACATGTACTTGGGAATGTTCGTTCGGTAAATTAATAGCCGTGTCTATTTGTACTCATTAAACCAGCAACATGAAAATTATCATTAGCAATTTCAAGCTTGGCAGGAGGGACGATAAGCCGTCCACTTCAAAGGTTTATCCAATCATGCTTATGTACATCTCAGGCGTCGTAATGTACTTGTCTCGTCCGGAGATTATTACAAGCAGAGGCTGAGACAGTCGCATGACGTAATCTGCACGTGGTTACGAACACATACGTAGTGCTTCAACGTGTGCTAGTCTGGACATTTAGCCGCAGTTTCACATTACAGAAACTATGTACGATTCAAAATGAGATCATGAAACTTCAACGTATAATCAGTTAACTTATCTATTGGAATTCACCAAAATGTTTTTAATAGCTGATTTTATTTCGGTTTTGTTGTCATTTTGCCCTTGAACGGAACAGAACTTTTATCACGCCCAGGGATGGGTACTCGGCATAAGAGGTACAAATATACAGTTACGAGTACCAGGGATACTCTACAACTCTACAACCTTATATAGTCTCCCTGAGAGTACACAGGATGGCGGGATGGTTTACATGGAAGATTGTACAGTTTCCATGATGATATTACAGAATAGGTTTTTAAACACTTTAGACAGCGACATTTTGGTTTCCATAATGTATACTCGAACAGTTTCTACGACTGACTGACTGACTGAGTTTGGTTTTACGCCGCTTTTAGCAATATTCCAGCAACATCTCGGCCGGGGACACCAGAAATGGGCTTCACACATTGTACCCATGTGGGGATTCGAACCCGGGTCTTCGGCGTGACGAGCCAACGCTTTAACCACTAGGCTACCCCACCGCCCCAGTTTCTACCAACATGTGTATAGTTAATGTACATCTAATTTGTTGGGTTTTTTCATCAACACTGTTAATGTGCACCTACACCGGCAAACATTTCTTACGAATGTCCTGAAAGGCTTTTCACACAAACATGAATCGATTACAATGTTTTAACCACATTCACATCCGTGAAGATCCGGGTTAGAAATGCTCTTCTTTGAGAGTCATTTTAGAAGTTGTATAGATGAAGGAAAATCAAGTTCTATGGATAGTCAACTTCTCTATTGCAATGTATCATCGTTTGCTTGATAACGGTGTTAGTACCTACACCGAAACGTCGCACTCATTGCACTCATTGAGTCATTGTCATAAGTGGCGACTAACGGGCCGATGTTCACAGACAACCGTCCTATGGCTTGAAATGTGTGTGTGTGTGTGGAGTTCAACAACAACCTGCATGTTACATGTCATACTTACACTTTAACTTCTCATATTACACTTGGGGGCGGTGGGGTAGCCTAATGGTTAAAGCGTTGGCTCGTCACGCCGAAGACCCGGGTTCGAATCCCCACATGGGCACAATGTGTGACGCCCATTTCTGGTGTCCGCCGCCGTGATGTTGCTGGAATATTGCTAAAAGCGGCGTAAAACCAAACTCAGTCAGTCAGTCAGTCATATTACACTTTAGTGGCAACGCATGATATCCAAGTAAAGATAATATATATATATTCTAACATTTGTCTGAATAATAAAGCTTTCATAACATTCAACATTTAAAAATAATTTAATTTCTGTATATTTTAGATGCTAATCAAAATATGTTCATGTATTTATTCCAAGTTTCATTTACACAGATCCACTCTCATAACAAGGAGAGATTCGTGACAATGTAGAGACACAGGTTGAATGGTGGTGTTGTTCATATGATTTATATTATAGATATCCATCCTTGTGGAAACACAAATTCACCAATGCCCACAGACAGTTCACTAGACTAACACTTATTCTATGGATGTACATAATTTTGTTAATCAATTCCTTTTAATTGACAAGGAGACCTAGTGAGAAGGGAGACTCAGAACCTGAACCTGAGGAAATCTGGACTTGCTTCGTTTAGGGCTTTATCATTGCAGAAAGGGCTAGGCAGATGGGCAAACAATGAGGTTCTGGGACTGTGAGACGGGGTAACAGTTCACTTCCGAGAGTAATGTCCAGACAATGTTCTGTTTTACCATTGATCGTCAAGGGGATGAAACCGCTAACACTTATATAACAACGTTTACCAACGTTTATTCAAGATTGAAACTCAAAACTTGTACTTGAATGTGTTATGTTGAAAATTATTACCTTGCCATATTAATAATAATAAATAGCTGTATGTTGCTTTATTGTATATAAAGACAACTCGATTGGCCAAAAGCCCTGAACCTTGGTAAAATGGTACTAAAACAAGCGCTGGAGTACATCAACTCAGACTAAATACATGTTTTAGTAGCAACATCACGGCGGGGACACCAGAAATGGGCTTCACACATTGTGCCCATGTGGGGATTCGAACCCGGGTCTTCGGCGTGACGAGCCAACGCTTTAACCATTAGGCTACCCCACCGCCCCAGTGTATATAACAAGAATATATAGACATGTAAATCATTTCCAAATCATAATATGGTATCACTGATACAGAAGAAGTAGAATGTATCCTTAAGTATTTCCGCTCAAAACACAACTATTTCAAGTTAATGGTATAAATAAACCCATTCTGGCGCCTCCTTTACTTACACGTCATTATCTCTTTGAGCGTTGAAGCGAACCACCTGATACGTGTAATTTTCACACCAGGTGGCGTGGTCGCTTTGTTCGAACAACACCCCGTGATCTTTGTTGGATTTCAGTTTGTACAAAAAAGGTACCGATTTCAAGGGATTTGTTTGCATGTGCGAGCTGTTCTTCTGACGAGAGTGTGTTGTTTGTCACAGATGCCGTTGTCATTAATGACACCCGCCACATGCTAGATGTAGATCCATTGACGTTGTATATGTTGCAGACGACAACTGTGACAAGGACAATACAATAGCTTACTGGGGCGTGGAGATTTTATGTAAACACCTACCGGTTATAGTAGAGATCAAAAGGATTTGATACATGGAAATGGAAATCTATGAGCAACCGCCCACAAGACAGGGCCTGTTGCCTTGCAGATGATGTAATGAAATGGATTTGGTAGCAATTTGAGTTTGGTTTTACGTCGCTGTATTCTACACCATGGCTGAATATTTTGCTAGCAGTTCATTCAATTAGGTTCAACATTCTGACAGTACACAAGACAGAAATTACACGGTTTCCTCTCAATGTATGAACACGTGTACATTGACAGCAACCACGCCAACGTCATACATGATCATCATTTGCGACATCAAAATACGATATGTACAGCGAAATTTAATACGAGCTCAAATGCACTATGCATTATGCATTATTACTGCAATTACAAACTGTTTAGCTGAAACGTATGTTTAACAATTAATAGTTTTAGCAGTTATAATGCACATTACATTTTATTCGTTTCAATGGAAATGTCAAACGTATGATTTATAAAGCATATAATCGGCACCTTTGTTAATACGTGTACAGGTCTCATACTCGCTGATAGACTAACAGCTAGTCTCTGAAATTAACATATTTTACAAACAAAAGCTCATTGTAAAAAACAAAAATATATAATGAAAAGGAGCCCTGAGACTTTCTTCATTTTCAGAAGCTGTGGAAATCTAGACTTGCCACATTTTCTAGACTTGTGTGGGCTTCTTGGATATATTTGCTTCAGGGTCTGTACGACAGACTAAGTCGCTGACACAAATATTAATTCTTGAACAGATGTTAACGTATGATTCATCTGGCATATAAACTTATACAAAATGAAAAACACATTCAAAATACGAGATCCCTTGGTGAATATCTGGACTGCGTTTCACGATCAAGTTTAAAATAGTTTATTAAGTCCGTGAATGAAAGTTTTTTTTCGGCCGAAGGAGAGATCCAATTATTATGATCCGAAGCAAAACCCAGCATACCTAGTTTCTTCACTAGATACTCTAACAATGAGCTAATCCCACAAATACAATGTAACAAAGCCAAATCGTTCCCCAGTTTACCCAAAGAAATATCAGATTCTCCAAGGTGCATATATGGGAGAATGGATATAATAAAAGCATATCTTTAAAGCTGTAGAAATAAATGAATGGCAATACAATGGTAAGGTAAGAAATTAACTGTAAGATTTATCTATAACATCCAAACATTTGTTATTTAACATGAATCCGCGAGAAAAAACGTGAATTAGTGTTTTCCTTCAGCTCATATTTCAGCCTTATCTCATACTGACCTTGTTAAAAAACAAATTCCGAGATTTTCTTGGCCTTGGCTCTAGGGTTATTAGATATGTGTGCGGGTGTCAAGACAGCTGAGCATTCGGTTTCATATTATATATTTCTTAAGACATGAAACACGTTCTGCTTCATTCTAAAGTTGGTTAACTGAAGTAAGTACAACCAGTGACTGTTGTCCTCAGGTGTCGTGACAGCATGACGTATAACAATCCATCAGCGTCATTTCCACCTTTCTATGAGTGGCATTTTAGAAGTTTGGAAATACAATATAAACAAACTTTATGGAGAACAACTTATTATATTTTGTGGGTTTCGGTACAGATTCTTGTACCGTTGTCAAGGAAAGAAGTTGTTATCCATAGAGTTTGTCTAGATATCGTTTCCACTCGTCTCAAATACCGACACTGGGCGCATGGTCTTGATGATTTTATGAGAGCTTGAATCGAAACAGTTCTGATATTGAGTTGTTCTGAGCCTCAGTTCAACTGCGTATTTAGTATATATGCAAAATAATATGTTTCCACCTTTTTGAAGATATACTCAATGTACGAAAACAATTCTGTTTACGTGAAAATGTAACAAAAAATCGTTTTGTTGAGTATGAACAAGAAAGGACTATTGCCTTTAAGTTACTTTTTTGTTACAATTTCATCGATAAGAGAGAAGTGTACTTCTGTTATAAAACAAAGTGACAAAAAACTTTATCACACAATTTTCATTATTTACTGAACCTGGGGCTCGATCCCATTTCTGGCACACGTTAGTCGTGACAACAAGATATCGTAATGTTTAGAGTTACCTCCCTTTGGACAAGATCCTCACAGCGACAGCGATACCCTACTAGGGGTAATGAGGTTTTATAATAACATGACGTGGAATTTAGTGCTATATGTTTTTAAAAAAAGCTTATTGAATGTCTGAATGAACTATTGTCATATACGATATATTGGCTGTAACGCATCTGATCATTCACAAGCCAAATAATCACCGAAATAAAACACACGATCATCTGATATCGATATTGTAAGTTGCAGACGACGTTCAAGTGTCTATGGCAAGGGATGGATTGTCACGTGTAAACGTGACTTACAGGGAATTCAGACTACGCGACCTTGCAATCATTAACCTCTTTTAACACAGAAGAGAAGTACTATTACAACTTGAAGTGAAATCCAAACTTACAGCCCAGCACCCAAATACAAACTTGCAGCACGGTATGTATTCAGACAGTTGAACATTTCGGGTGACTGACAAAACTCTGTCATTAGCCCAAGTAGTTCATTTCTGTTCTGTGTCTAGGTAGAAATTGGTTTCAGTTATGATGTGCTTGTCAAATGGCTAAAGGGTTGTGCAGCTGCTGCTAAAGTACTAGCATTTAAGTAGGTCTATCTACCTACCTGCCTACCTGCCTCTTGGCATAACTGTAAGCATTAATGACATCGACGTATAGATCTACACTGAGTGGAATTTGTGGAATTTGAAGGACTTGGGGAAAAAAACATTGACCTAACCCTGATCTAACTGAATGATTATATGTCCTAAAATGATTCAAATGTTTTCATTTCAGGAGCCGTAAGCCCTGAGAAATATCAAACTGTATTTTTTTAGTTGTTTTTATGATGGAAAGACTGGATATTTGGCTTTTGAATAGTGTGAAATATTAATTTAGATCTAATGAAAATTCTCAAGTTGTTTTTAGTGTTGACGAGCATGTCCCACTGTGTCTGAATAGACCTAATGTTTATACCACCAACAGTGTCACTGCTGGGTACATTCAGGAATATTTTGTTCAGCACTGTCATACTTCAGTCTTCTATTTGAGAATATCTTTCTTCCATAGCCACAGGTGGTTGTCATCATGGAGGAGCTGAAGGCGACTGCATGCAAAGCGATTGATGCTGCCAATGTAGATCTCAAAGCCCTCAGCAAAGAAATTTATGACAATCCAGAACTAAACTTTGAAGAATTCCACGCGCATGAGGTCCTCACAAATCTGCTGGATAAGTATGGGTTTGCTGTAGAAAGGAGCTTCAAGGTTGCTACAGCCTTCAAGGCAACCCATGGAAGTAATGACAGTGGGGGACCTAATATTGCAGTGCTGTGTGAGTATGATGCCCTGCCTGGGCTTGGCCATGCTTGTGGACACAACCTGATTGCAGAGGTGGGTGTGGCAACAGCTGTTGGTGCCAAAGCAGCAATGGAGGCTGCTGGAAAACCTCTTGGCAAGGTAAGGAATATAAAGGAAATTAATATAAATGTTTAGGAAATTAAGTTGTAACATTATACATTACACATTTTTGATGTAATAGAATCTTTGAATTCATGCAAAAGTTGAAACCATTGTTTCTGATAATCCTTGGACAGTCAACTACAGAACGGAGGTTGCTGATGTAAGGGAGGCAACCCTTTGTTGTAGATGTGACTGATCGTAGTGTTGTACCTATTACACAGCTGACAGTGTTGGGCACACCTGCGGAGGAGGGAGGGGGAGGCAAGGTTGACCTGATCCGAGCGGGGGCCTTCAGTGGTGTGGATGTGGCAATGATGGCACACCCGTCCCAGTGCAATCTTCCCAGGCCTATCATGGTAGCAATGAATCAGTAGGTTGACTTGGATTGCTGCAATAAACACAAAATAATTATTGTCCCACTTTCAACAGAACTGTACAACATTTGCAGCATATCATTTAGAATCTTTATTTCATGGATGGTACAATTTTTATTATCACAGTTATGAGGTCCCTTAGTTTTCGGTGGTGGACCAATGTCCTGATTATGTGTCTAGGTTCCTGTGCCATACCTGTGTTTATGGGTTTCTCGAGAGTGGTAAACATCTGAGACCAGGCCCCGATTTCTCGAAACAAACTTAAGTCTGAGATTTGACTTAAGTCTGAGTTTTTACTCAAATTTGAGAAAACGCAGGAAAATGCATTTCCTAGAATAAACTGAAATCAATATTAAACTCAAACTTAGTAGACCATTTGAGTTTGGTGGATATATTACTTAAGTTGTTTGGGCTTTTTTTATTTAAAAAATGCAGTTGAGTTAAAAATTCAGCTGTTTCAAATTGTCAAACTCAGTTTGAAATTTGAGTAAAAACTTAAGTTTGTTTCGAGAAATCGGGCCCTGTAGTAGTTAGATGGGACCTGGTCAAAAGCTGATATTTTTACAAAAAATATGAACAGTAAACATACCTAGTTTTGAACAATATCTTGATATTTTCCCAATTGTCTAGGGCAGTTACCGGTGGTTTAGAGTCTTAGATAAATCCTGGACCTTCATCTCTTATCATCAGAATGTACAATAATGCAAACAATTATTAAATTTCACTGATGCTTCTCCTTCAGAGCTACAATTCAGTTCCGAGGCCGAGCTTCTCATGCTGCAAGCTTCCCCTGGAATGGAGTGAACGCTCTCGATGCTGCCGTTCTCTGTTACCAGAACATCTCATGTCTGAGGCAGCAGATCAAACCAACTTGGAGGATCCATGGTATGGATAATGTTATATTTAGAGGCTGTGGTTGTGTGTTTATTGAATGTTCAATATATTGCATGAAAATTATGAAAATGATCATTTATCTAAAACCCTTACTTCCAGGGCTTGCATTTTGGTAAACATACATTTACCCCACATAGATTCCTGTGGTTCTTGTGAATTACCTACCCTTGATCTTCTTCAACATTTTACCGAACAATCAAACATCAACGTAAAGGAAAATGAAAGAGTAGGGGAACTCATGCTATCAGTCACTGGTTTGTCTGGCCCAAAGTTGATCATTTACAGACCTGTAATATGGAAGGAATATTGCAACATGAAACAAACAAATAAATTTATTGGACACAACAATCCTTTGCCTATGTGATTATGATGATGTAATTCAATATTCAGTTGCTGCCATAAATCAGTTGTATCAAATAATTGTTGAACTTTCATGGAGACCGCTACAAATAAATACATGATGTTTTCTATGTTAGGTGTTATATCAAATGGGGGTGCCAAGCCAAACATCATACCTGAATTAACAGAGCTGCAATACATGATCAGGGCGCCCACGGACCCGGAACTAGCCGTCCTAAAAACCAAGTTTGAGGCGTGTGTATATGGAGCTGCTCAAGCCACAGGATGTACTGTGAGTGCTTTCAGTGTCTCAACTGAAGAGTTACCATATGTGATTTAAGTATTTGTTGTTGGGCACAGAAGGAAATTATGAAGGCTTGATCCCTGATAACAGCCATTGAAGTGTTTTTAATAGTATTCTGGAGGGCTTGTGTAAACAGTATTTGAGGTTTACACTTTCTGTCAGTTTTATACATTTCCAAAATCAAAACATTGAGATCTGGTGCAGAATTATAAATTCTCAGTAAGGACTGCCACAATATCATTTTGATCAGTTCTTTGTTCTGGCTACAGGCCAGGTCAAAGCGACCTATCATCTAACCAATCAAAGGGTCCCTTACCAGATCAGGAATGAGACATTTTCATAACTTTTTATAGTAACTGAAGTGTTTTGTACAGCAACATATGTTGTGTATGTTATCCTGCTATTGAATATCAATCAGTCTAAATGATATTTATTCTATGTTATCTATAATATTTGCCCTTCTTATTTATTTTTAAAAAACCCTTATTTATTCTTTTACTACGACCTGAATGATTGGACTTATGTGACCTACATAATCTTGTAGCTCTTCCCTTTCTATTTGTTGTACAATGTTTAAACCATTTTCGAGTCTGTTGTAGCTGAAGCTATAACAGCTTTGTTATTTGCCATATTGTGATGCAGATTGTATAACCAGTATCTGGGTTCACATTAAATGCAACAAACAGCAGTCTTTCTCAAATGGACAGGAGGTGGGATGAAAGATGAGTCTGCAGGGTTTGACCTTGACCTACAAGACCAGGTCGAGATGACCCCCAATTACTAATTAGAAGGTCCTTATCCTGTGAAGAAATGTAATCATATAGTGTAGTGTACTACAATGTGAGATGTTATAATTACTTTAATTTGAGGAACTTGGTACGCTGAATATCATGTTGTGTCCCTGAGGATGCAAAATATATATTTCTGCATTCATTCTGTACAGGATTTAGTACTGGAGACACACATGTTTCGCTAATTTAGTTATCCAGTCTCTTATGTTAAGTAATTTACTTCCAGGGACTGTGAGGAGGCGTTTAGTTAAAGCGGTATTGTTTACTTATCCGAGTTTAGTTAACTGGACTCTAATAGTGATAATTAATGAAGAAATTTGCTGGGAACTTATCAGGTCTGTTTAGATGGCGGTCTTTACTTAGGTGGTTTCCACTGTATATATTTCTGCATTCATTCTGTACAGTTTTTAGTACTGGACACACATTTCTGTGTGGCTTTAAGCTCTGAGGGTCAGAGGGTCAGACTAATAATATTGTGAAAGGAGTTATGTCCCTTGCTGTCATGGTATGAGATAATCTGGTGCAGAAATGACCTCACATCACAAGGCACATTCAGATGAGATAGGTCAGGTGGGCTAGGGCGGAATGTTAAGGTTCCACATGTTAGTACACAGGATACGGGAACCTATTCTGACACTACCTCATTATATCTTTGTTGATGAGAACAGCGTTTACTGGATGCGGTTGATTGGTTTGCTGTTTATCGCCACACTCAGCAATATTCCAGCTATATGGCGGCGGTCTGTAAATAATCAAGTCTGGACCAGACAATCCAGTGATCAACATCATGAGCATCGATCTACGACAATTGGGATACAATGACATGTATCAACCAAGACAGTGAGCCTGACCACCCGTTTTTTTTTAGTCGCCTCTTACGACAAGCATAGGTTACCAAAGACCATTTCTAACCCAGATTTTCACAGGTCCGTACTGGATGTGTGAGTGGAATGTTTACATAGTCCATTAGGAATAAGGACTGTTAAATACATGATCAATTGATCCTTTCAGTCCAGAATCTGGAGTTAGGGATCTGGATTTGGGTTGGAAGTGTCGTTTGGTAGAGATAAGGATTAGTCACAGTCCTGTTTTGACAGAGCTTCTTTCAGCCTCTTGTCCCTGCCACCAGGTGGAGTGTCAGTTTGATGACAAGCCGTACTCAGCACTGATGAGCAACAATATCCTGGCAGCGCTGTATGAAGCTAACGGTGTTCAGGTCGGCATCCAGTTTGAGCAAGACCCCGCCAAGATTGCCAAGCAGGGAGGTTCAACTGACATGGGCAATGTGTCGCATGTCGTACCCAGTATACACCCCAAGTTCCACTTTGGGACAACAGCCAGTGGTCACTCTGTAGACTTTGCCAAGGCTGCAGGTACTCAAATATATGATTTATTCAAGCAGCCATACATTAATAGGATGTCACACTGCTGATCAGAGAGTTGTGTTTTCAGAATCTGGACTTGAAAAGCATACGGTAAACTACTGTTATAACAAAGTAATTGGGGACAAGTAATTGTTGTTCATTGTGACTAGTTCATGACTGGCATTAAAAAAAAGCCAGTTCATTATATCATCTGTGTTTCGTAATTAATGTAGTTTATTGTATGAAGACCACACTAATTATAAGTCAGTACCTCGTGTTGTCAGCGTATGCAACACATCTCCTGTACATACAGAGAACTAGGCAGACGATGTAGGCCATGATATAAATTATCTGCTCTCTGGGGAGGGGCAATTGCTACAAAACATGTTGTGGTCAAATCTGGACTGTTCTGGAGGAGGATGGATCCAATATACCATCATGAATATCCCATGGATCTCCCTCTACCTTCTGCTCCTAGTTCAGTTTATCTTTTTCAAATATACAGATATCGAAGCAGTTTTTGACAATTGAAAAGTGTGTTTATGTAGTCTGCATTCTGTTAAGGTTCATTAAATTTGTTCACTTATTCCAAAATAATCAAAGCAATTTCATTTCTATATGTCAGAAATATGAAATTTGAGCATGCCAGGTAAATTCAGATGATGTCAGTTCAGCCATGTTTGTTCTACATTGTACTGATGTGATGTCTATCCTGTGCAGGTAGAGAGGAGGCACAGGACTACACACTGTCTGTGGGGAAGGCTCTAGCTATGACGGTCATCGACCTGTTTCTGAACCCGGACCTGATACCCCAGATACAGGGACAGTTCAGGCTGGATCTCCAGAAAGAGGAACAGCTTGTTGTGTAGATTCAGAGTTACCTCATCTCCTGGAGGAGGAACAAGATGCTCTGTGGAGTCAGTGTGGCCTTATCTGCAGAATGAAGAATATATGGTGGTGTGGCCTCAGTATTACCATATCTGAAGAAGGAGGAAGATATGAAGTATCCCTTCCATCAAACGTTTCCTTAATTCTGTAATACTATACATGAACATTTGTTACCATAAAAATGTTATTCCGGTTTCAAGAACATTGGGATCATAACAGGGTAAATTCATGGATGTCATCATCTTCATTATAAGGAGCAGAAAATGTTGGAGTATATGTTCACTCCTTTTATAATCTTACTCAACCTGATGCAGGAGTGAGAATATACCCTCAAACATTGTGTGCCTTAAATTTAAGCAGTTGACATCCATAAGAGTTCCCTGTTTACCTCTAAATGCTATCTAAAGACTTTTTCATCGAACAGACCCATTAAACAGCATGGTTCTATTTACGCTATTTCACTACATACAGCGTTCAGCTCACCTTGTCTGTGATGAGCTACAGTACCTTGTTACTATTGATCCTGTGATGTTACTTCAGCTGGGATTGTCACACGGTGTGTCAGTTGACAATTCACCTTGTCTGTATGTGGTGAGTGAGTGAGTTAGGTTTTATGCCACACTCAGCAATATTCCGGCTATATGGCGGCGGTCTGTAAATAATTGAGTCTGGACCAGACAATCCAGTGAGTAACAGCATGTGTCAACCAAGTCAACGAACATGACCACCCGATCCAATTAGTCACCTCTTATGACAAGCATAGGTTACTGAATATCAATTCTAAAACAGATCTTTAGGGTCCTGTATATGGTAAACTACAGTACCTTGTTACTATTTGTCCTGTGATATTACTTCAGCTGGGATTGTCACACAGTGTTTCGTTGGAAAATTAACCTTGGAGCAGAAAAGAGCTTGATATCAGTTCCTTATGACAATCTATTATCATATTGGTGCTACTGTTATATCTTAGCCCCATTTCTGGTGTCCGCCGCCGTAATATTGCTAAAAGCGGCGTAAAACCACACTCACTGTCACTGTTATATATTAGTATGTTGTGTATTGGAATGTATCAGAAAGCATTGTAATGGATGATGTTTACATGAAAATCAGATGAAGATCCATAAAATCCTAACTCATCCAATCCTGCAAGGCTTGAAGATCCATCCATGTGCAAACAATACTAATACTGTATATTAAGACCACTTGACATACCAGTACCCTTCACAGTGTTTGTGTTGCTGTGAGACTGTAGCCTGCCATAGCGCTGAATAAGTAGTAACTTGCTGTGACCATCAGCAGTTAATGTATACTTAACTGCAAAGGAAATGCAAGTTGTACATAAAATTGGATAACATTAAGACCAGCAATGTAAGGAATGTAGAGGAATAATATCAGATAAAACATTTGTTAAGTAATCCGCATGAATTGTTTGATGAAAACAATTTGTGTTTATTGACAAAATGATGAATGAGGTGAGCAGTGTGTTTCTTTGCGTTTGTATACACATCTTTTCACAAAGAAATATTTTCTGCATTTCACAAACAAAAGAACTTGATATGTGTATTTTTTGCTCTCAAGTGCTGGTATGAGTCTTTTCTGGAACGTTAGGTCAGTATCTTGGGTCAGGATGACAGCAGTACTTTGAGCTTCACGGTATATTCCCCAGGGAGATGAGACAGCAGTGCGTATATTGATCTGTTCAGTGGGATAATGTGTCATACACTTTTGTGGTGTCTAGTGTTAGATACAGCTAATAAAAGTACTATCATTATGATGTGATTAGACTGCATTGACAAACAGGATATTGTAACATGTTATATATGGGATTACACTTTTGTCATATGTTACATTTGACATTTACACATGTATTCAAAACAGGATTTTATCCCCTGCTAACACCTCTGTGTTATTTGTTTGGCTAATCCAAGCTGTTTTAGTGTTCTTGTGTTGCATTACTGCATGGAATGATGTCACTGATTTCATATTATTATTCCTGTGTGTGTATAATAAGCAGTCTGTTAGGTTATTGTTATTATTATGAATGTACTTTTGTTATGACAATTGACTTCAGTTTTTGTTGTGCAGCAGAATTATGTTAAGTGGATTCACACATTTGCACATTTATATCTCCATAAATGGAAATGATAATGAAGTCAGTTGTTAAATCCAAACAGTTTATTTAATGAAACAACTTCATGAGATGGTGAAAGAAGGGAAGGTGATGAATGTATCTTGATGATCTGATTTGTTTCAGTATTTTATTTGGAACTCTGTGCATTTACTAACCAGAAATTGTCTTCTGGTGTATATATACCCTACATGACCTATTGACATTGTCACCTGTCTTATGTCAGTGTTAAAGATGGGAGTTATGATTGTTGTTGTCTGGTGTGGGCACGAGTTTTACACAGGACATACCAGTATGTAGATACAGCATTCAACATGTGAGACCCTGATTTATTGTGGAATGAACAGATTTCACTGATCTATTTTCACAGATTTTCTGCATAGAAGGAATAAACTATAAGTATTGTCAGAACTTTGTTTTACATTTTGTGTGTACTTAGAGAGGATGTTAAATTAAGTACATAACTACAGCTTGCCCATTAAAAAGACTAGCAAGTTTTCCAAGGTGCTGCAAGGAGTTGCAATTCTCATTGCAAAGCTACATCCCTTGGGCATGCAAGAAACCTACAGTTCTTATGAATTCTCTTCCTGCATAAAACCTCACTTTCCTCCTGTGTGTGTTTCAGTTGATACTCATAGTCAACTTTCAACACTTAGAAGATGTTGGCGAGATGTACATGTTGCTGTAAGCCAACACGTATAGAAGTCTGACATGTGTGTGAGCCCCGATCTCTGCTCAGGCTTGTAAATTCATGACTAAGTATGACCCTCACACTGCCTGGCGGAGATGTAGGACCAGCTGATATGTGTGTATTGTAGGAGATGGGGTTTATGTCAATCTCATGATGCTATCCCACATCTCAACTCCAGCTTGTAAAACATGTGGTAAATTCATGACAACAGAGGTCACTCATGTATCCCCAAGGGCTCCAAAGAAACATGCTGTGAGTTTTGCTCTTCGCTTTCCAAGACAACCTACTTCTAACTAGCCAACAGCATCATGATGGCGAAGATTGGAAGGCAGCCAAGAAGATGGCGAAGATATTTCAGGTCCTTCTGCTACATCAGCAGAGATTCCTTCCAGACTTTATTGAAATACACATAAATACACTTTCGACTGCCGACTTGCAACTTTGCGCCAACTCCGGGTCCATTGGGAGGATGTCCAGAACTGGAAACATATCACATCCGACCGAAGGATTCTCAATGGAGGAGGGTATGAGTTTTTATTCATTATCCTGTACTCGTATCTGAGTCAGAAACCCGGAGATTCCATCTTGCACGGACCAAGCCCTTAGCAGTAGATCTAGACAAATACCAGAAACAAACGCTGAACAAACTTGAAGAAACACAACTCAGCTTGTGCTTTAAATCTCCAGTAATTCTTGTTCTCAAGAAGAACTCCGCAGAGATGATATACTTCAAGATCGTGAACAAGTCTTTTCTATTTTTTGTTACGAGTGAAGGTATGATAAAGGGGTATATGACACCAATTCACCCGTAACAATGAAAATGGATCACACAACAATCTGACTAATTGAGGAAGATTTATTTATACTATCCTAACAGAAGGCTGATACAGGTTACCAATTTACAAATGTGGAAAGTGAAGAGGGAATTGTCTTAGATATATTATGGGCAAAGCAATATGGCATAGTCACCTCATTTTAAAATCCTTCCTGTACACCATGATTTCCTAGTTTCCATATTTGACACAGTCCCGACGTGGGTGCAAGTTTGTGAATTCACATTATGGGTACAACCACAACTGGCAAAAATCCCGTCCTCAAAAAACATCCCAACTAGATCAGAATCACCGAGCTTCTCCCTATAAGCTGGCTGGCCACATTCAATTAACTGACCAAAGCTGAATTCATCAAACCCCAAGCTGTACCACTAGTTACATAACAATTTCTCGCTCAAGCGAAGGCCCCTCACCCCAAGCTAAAACTAATTACACCAAGTATACTCATCACTATCTAAAACTGTACATTATATTTGCAAAATATGTTTCATCACCCATAACACTATAAAATTACACAGAAATGTAGATATTTTAATTTTTATTGGACTTCAAATTGAGGGTTGAAGGGGAAGGGCATATATGTCCCTGTGGCACCCAGGGTGTTAACCAAAATAGTAATCGTATGAGACTATTTGGGCTTTCCCTTTTTGCACTGGTGGGACACGTTTTAAAGCGGCGTTAAACCAAACTCACTCACTGCAAGCATCGAAACAGAAAAGATCCAGATAGTGAAAACTTTAATGACCCTCTTTGAACCTGGGAAGCATTTGGTAGATAGGCGGTTAAAGTGTTGGCTCGTCCTAGCATATGCACAATGTGTAAAACCCATATATATATTTTGAGCGCATGTGTTCCATATATAGTTTCTTTCAAGCCAGATTAAGAAAACTGACCATTTAACAAACCAGCTGCGCTATTCTTTCACTCAGTAGTATATACATACTATAGATCAAGTCCAACAAAAAGCCTCTGTAAAGCTTCATTTATGAAATAAAGCTTTTGTCAGGCCCTTATCTCTCTCCGCTATTATACCACTGTTTGAACCCCCAGTTAACTTCCTGGTCACTATGACCATGAACCAACACTTTCCTGATCACGATGGCTCTATGTCGTGTTGACCTCGAGGAAACAGTTGGTTACAGGATACTATTGGGATTACTCGACAAGGTAAGTGTTAAATATTTTGCTTGGGGGGTAACATTGTGCCGTGATTCCTCTCTGACGGTGGCCCGTGGATGCCCTACATGATGTTAATCTCAGCAAAACAGTTTAACGTGAATCTCCTATGATTTCTTTGGTTTTCGTAATGAAGGCTTGCTGGGCTTGTTGTATCCCCTGTTCTATGTACTTTTTTCTCGTCTTCGCTGATGACAGTGCTTTTACGAGACTTGTTTCGTATCTCTCGTTTCATTTCGTGATATTTTGCGAGTTCAGAGAGGACCAAACGAAACTCTTCCTCTGAGATTTTATTGTCAGTGAGTGCGGTGGAAATATGGTCGTCTATGGTGTTTAACTTTGCATCGGCTAGGATCCTGATCTCATCGTGTTTCAATGCCTTACGATGCAGTCTGCGTGACGCAAACTTAAACATCAATCCAACCAACCCTGACACCCCCGCTGTTATTTCGATGCCTAGCACTATGGGTGCGGCTACGATGGTGGTCAACAACCCCACACCTACTGCCCCTAACCCCATACTGGTAGCCATAAGGGTGGTATCAACCCCATCCACAGCATTGAAAGCTCTATGGTACTTCTTGTACAATGCTGCCCGTGTGTCGCGGTCTTGTTGTAGTTGGCGTTTTACGTCACATAACTGTTTCAACCGAAACCCGTCTACGGTTTCCAGGGTCTTCGCTACTTCCTCTACGACCGGGTACAGCCCCATCCTGTGTGTATAATATATACTACAATATATTTTTTAATTGGGCTTCATTTAATAGTCGATCAATGTACTTGAGGCTTGTAAGGCTTAACCTCTGGGATATGTAAATAGGGGAAAGGGTAACTCTTGTTCTATACTAACTATCTCGTGGCGTATTAAGGGGGGCAGCAACCCTAGTGAGGGGTCCGAGCTCCGTCGTATGACGATACGACAATGGTGGTCCCAAAATGGATATGAATGTGGCCAATCTATTACCACCCCAGGTAAAAGGCGCCAGGGTGGTTCCCCCAAGGATCCAAATGTACTAATAATGTCGTCTTTGAAAAAGACTTCTATGATGAGTGTGGAGCCTGGGGCCATAACCATAGAATATGGTAAGCCAGCGTATAAGCGGAATGATAAACGTGCATTTCTGGGTGTATCTAACATGTAGCCCGGGCGATGTGGCGTTTGTGAAACTATTATATACTGAATAATACCCGAGGTGAAACCCCCGAGCAAGATACCGTTGTTCTTAATTTCGGCGATATGACCATCCTTATCAAAAGAGACGTAAGGTGCGGTGAGGGTCATGTTGATCAACCATTCGGGTTCTTTAAAGTCTGCCAGAGACACCCGCCTATACACGTTGTCTTTTAAGTGTAGGACATACAAGGTGCCTTCCTCGCCGGGTAGATCAAACCCCTCCGTGTCCCCTAGGTCATTAAGCGCGACGTTGGACCGATGACTGGTCATTGTTATATTACTATCACGAGATAGTTTCCAATTGTTTTTCTGATAACCTCTCAGGGGTGCACTTCAACCCCATGAGGTGTATGTTGTCGTGTAGGAAGATCTTGGTGAGGGATATCGTGTCTTCGACGGTCACGGTGACCCCTGCAGACTTGTGTGGGAGTCGACACCCACCCGCACGTAAACAGTGCAAACGTGATACTGGTGTTGTTTGGGCCACCGGAGTTTGATTCCCTTCTCGACTTCGACTTCGTCCTGCGATGGTTCTCCTAGGTAGACTTGGATGGCCAGCGTGGAATTTGCTGGTAGACCTTCCAGGATTTTGACCACACCGGCGAATTCAGACACCAACTGCAATGCCACGTCTTGCACTCCTGGTTTACTGGATAGCATATGGGCCGCCATACTCGAGAGTGGGCTAATGATTACGCTATGTCTCTGCGCCGGGACGTAAGCCACGAGCAGGGTTCCGTTGTTCACGACTTTGTTTAGGTAGTTGTCTTTGTTCTCCGTGAACACGTAGGGGGAGCCGAGACTAATGTTGAGAAACCAGTCGACTTGAGCGGGTAACAACACCCACTTGTTGTCGGCGGTGAAGACGAGGGCATACTGCTTGTTTCGAGCAACGGTCGTGCTCTCAACATATTCTAGGTCGAACAGTTTGCCACCGAATGATGGGTATACCGACCATCTATCATCACCGATGCGGACTAGGTCGAACCGAGTGTTGAGGGCCGCTCCTGAGGTATCTACTATATCACCTAGGGTTCTACCGATGGAGGGGACTTCAACGCGTTTGTAAATACTGTTTTTAAGCTGCAAGGCGTATAGTTTCCCATCTACTCCGGGGTCGTCGAATCCGCGTGTGTCCCCGAGGTCGGAGATCCCCACATTGACGCATTTTTTCAACTTCATTCAGGGACCTTGTGAGCTAGTCATTTTATGTGCAGCATTATGCTGAGGTACCCTATATTCACAGGATTATGCTTTATATCTAAAACCGATATTACCAACTCAGGGATGGTGCTCCGAGTTAACCTCTTGTACTGCCGCGGTGAAAACGACTCGGTTCTGCCATCATTGTACTTCTCCGTTTTCACTGGTACGGCTCTCAGTATCGTGGAAGGGTGGCCACCTTGAATGTTGTCCGTTGTGCTCAACTGACCGAGATGAATGCACAGCTCTCGGTACGGTACTAGGTCGGGTAACTTCGTGCCGTTTGAGTCGTTCATCTTGAGTTCATCTCCCAAGGGTTTGTAGACCTCAT